GGCTGCAGTGGCCGGGAGCGGCCACTGCACTCCAGTCTGGGCAACGGAGTGAGACTCCAACTCAAAAAAAAAAGAAACAACGTACTTCTGACCCTATATGGAACACATACACAACAGTGAGCAACGACATACAATGAGGCTACCACCCTAACCACGGGAAGAAACAGAGATAGGCTTACCACAGAGTTTTTCTTGGATCCTCTGTGCTTCCGCCAATCGTTCTTCAGCTGCCCGTCGTCCAAGACCAGCTTCCTTTCTGGCGACGACCAGGTCATATTCCAGACTTTGCCGCAGGGCTTCTCCTTTTTCAACCTCGGACCGCAGCCGGGCAATCTGGCTCTCATAGCTTGCCAGCTGAAAACAGATTTCTGAGATCAACACATCTCTAAGATTATGAGATCGAATGTCTTAGAAAAACTTGTTTCCATAATATTTACAAGGGCAAGAATTTATAAATGTATCTTCTGGAAAATACACTGGAAAATAAGCACTACCTTACTCACCAAATAATACTCACTAAATTTCTTATTTTAGAGAATCCATTAGAGAAAAAAGGCAAAGACAAAACAATTCTATACAAACTTTTTTTTTTTTAATAAAAATAAAGAGAAATCACGTTTCGATTAGAAATAGTCATACCTGGCCGGGCTCGGTGGCTCAGCCTGTAATCCCAGCACTTTTGTAGGCCGAGGCGAGTGATTGCCTGAGCCCACGGGTTCAAGACCCACCAGGGGAACTTGGCAAGACTTCGTCTCTATAATAAATAAAAAATTAGCACGCCTGTAGTTTCAGCTACTTGGAAGGCTGAGGCAGAAGGATCATTGGAGCCCAGTGGGTCAAGGCTGCGGTGGACAGGAGTGTGCCACTGCACTCCAGTCTGAGTGACAGAGTGAGACTCCAACTCAAAAAAAAAAACAAAAAAAACAAAAAAAGAAATAGTCATAGCTAAAAAAAAAAAAAAAAAAAAAAAAAGAATAACACAGTAAGCACTTAAAAACTCATTCTTCCTTCTCTTCCTTCTGCTCTCTAAAATAAAATTTAAAAACAAACTGCATCAAAGTATAGTTTAATACTTTTTGTCTATATTATTTCACTTATGACATCACTGATAGAGCATAAAGTAATAAAAGTGCCAATTTCACAGGGATTTAAATGAACTAATAGCTAACTTGCAACCTTCAATGAAGTAGCATGACAGAAGACAGGTCAAAAAGTGAGAACTAGATGATTATAAGGTCATCTCCCACGTTACAATTATATGATACAATCAGTTATTTATTAAATAGTATTAATCACTCGATGCATGTTAAGTGCAATGAAAGATACAAAAACAAATATTATTAAGGCCCTGACATCAGGGGATTAAATGTTACAGAAAGGCATATGGGCTAAGTTTTATAAAGGAGATAGAAATAAAATGTTATGATAGTTCGAAGAAAAGCAAAATTACTTGTTGCTGGTAGAAGAAAGAGAGATGGTGGAAAAGAGATAATTCTAGAAAGGTATCACACAAGAAATGACTGAGCTGCTACACCAGGCCAGAATATATAGTCTAATCATCAAATTGAGAAAAGATTAACAGATTTCTGAAGGGCAACATCAGAAGTTACTATAAGTTTCCTTCTTACGGCACGGTAGCCACCAAACACCTGTCTGGCCCCTTCGACCTAGCTCTGTTGTTCTTGTCAGGGGGTGGGAAGAGGCCTTAAGGACCACACTGAAGCCTGAAACGAGGCAGCAGCTTGTTTGGTTAGAGGAAGAGGTACGATTCCAAAAAAGAAATGACCGTAAGTGACTTTTAATATGCAGAGCGTGGCAGGAGCTACTCTTACTCTTTGTTTTTAAGGTGACTTCAGAAGAACTCTGTATTTATTATAGGCCCAGGGCAGATAAAAAATAAGAATTTACAATTTTAAATAATTTAGAGAAGTAAGTATCTTAATGTACTTATGAAGTAAGAATTTATAATTATCTGCTGATGGTTAAAGAAAAAATATAACAGAACCACCCTAATCACAAATTCAAAGTAACTTCAACGTTGGTGTCAGAAGTTGTTAACACGTGCACATTCTCAGTTGTGCCAGTCACTTAGCTGCTCTCAGTTCTCCCTATCTTTCTCCAGCTTTGCTCTGTATTGTAGGAACTCTGTTTCCAAGGCTCCTTCAACAACTGGCTTCTCCATGGGTTTGGCTGATGAAAGGCAACTGTGGAATACTCGAGGGCAGAGAAGTGAAGGACCCAAGGCATGTCTGCCTCTCAAGAAGGCTAGATACCAGGCAAGTTAGCCCTGTCTTCCCTGTGGCTGCAAATCCTTCTGGATTGTCCCTCCCCCCACGGACCCTGCTCTCTCCAAACGGTTCTAGCTTTTATCAACCTTAGGAGTAGAAACAGCTTTCTAATGATGCCAGTATCTGGGATGCCTTAACATCCCCTATTTGTCTTTCCAGCTCTTCTAGTACCTGTGTGACCAACACTCCCTACTAATGTCCCTTTGTTGGAAGCTCTAGAGTGGTTTCTATTTTCCTGACTGGATACTACTGCTCTTGGTATCAGAAAAGGTTTCAAGATGGGTATATGATATTGGATGGCTACCCTATTTGAACCTAAACATGGTGAAGACCTCTTCACAGGTAGAAATGGGATGCCAGCATACAGTGCGATCACAGTTTTTTAAATTATAACGTGCAGTTGTTCAGGATGAAGTACCAGCTGAAGATAAGCCTCCAGGAAATGAAGTCATGGATGCACTTGACCATTAAGGCAGCACTGTCTACTCTATGGGGTAAGCCCTGAGGGGTAGGAAGAGAGTTACCGTACTACACTACAAAACTTACACAAACAAAACTATAATCTCAGGGCTTTAGAATCCACCTCAAGACTGTCAAAAAACCAAAGAGTTTTTACGGTGACTTTAGAAGAATTGTTTATTTATTATAAGCCCTGGGCAGAGAGGGTTAAGGACCAGACTGAAGATCTAATTATGAGGAATGCAGAATTACAAGTTCAGTGAAGAGCCTCACCAAGTTTCTGTTGGGTTTGTTTGTTTTTGTTTGTTTGTTTGTTTTGAGTGGGAGTCTCACTCCTTGCCCAGGCTGGAGTACAGAGGCACGCTCACAGCCACTGCAGCCTCTGCAGCCTCGACCTGCTGGGCTCAGGTAAGCCTTCCACCTCAGCCTTTCGAGTAGCTGGAAGTACAGGTGCACACCACCACACCCAGTTAATTTTTTCATTTATTGTAGAGACGAGGTCTCACCATGTTTCCCAGGCCAGTCTTGAACCTGTGAGTTCAGGCAATCCTCTTGCCTCAGTTTCCCAAAGTGCTGGGATTACAGGCGTGAGCCACGGCGCCCAACCAGTTTCTACTGTTAAGATGGCATCCGTTGTGCATTAAGTAGTAAGGAAGGACATGGAATGAGGGCTTCTGGAATCAGACAAACCTGAAAACTATGAACTCCCATTAGAGTCCAGGATGTCCAAGATCCTCCCTGAACATCCCTTATGAACAAAAGTAACCTCTCCGCCCTGATAAAGGTAACTAGCCTTGTCTTACTTAAAGATTTAATAGTGACCACACCTGAAGCAGTTGCCTTACAAGAGGATTTGAAATACCCACCCCCCCACCCCTCTCTATCACCACAGATTGACTCAGATCTCAGTATGCTACAGGAGGAAAAATGTAAAGTCTGTTCTAGAAGAAAATAGCTGTGATGGTTGCTATTAGACGCCAACTTGACTGGATTGAGGGGTGCCTGGACAGCTGGTGAAGCACTGTTTCTGAAGATTCCTATGAGGGTGATTCCAGAGGAAACAGACATGAGAGTCATGGCCTGGAAGAGAAAGCCCCACCCTCAAAGTAGGCAAGCACCATCCAGTCTGCTGCCAGCATGGCGTCAACAAAGCAGGCAGAAAAAGGGGGATAAGCAGCTCGCAGGGTTCCTCCCACTCTCTCTCCCTTCCTTGGCAGACGCTTCCTCTCCTCCTGACCTTGGACATCAGACTCTGGATTCTTCAGCTTTTGAACTCTGGGACCAGCACCAGCAGCCCCCCAGGGGGCTGTCAGTTCTTCGGCCTCAGAGAGAGGACTGCAGTGTCAGCTTCCCTGGTTTTTAGGCATTTGGACTTGGACTGAGACATACTTTGGGTTTTTCTCATTGCCCACCTTGCATATGGCCTATCGTCAAACTTCACCTTGAAATTGTGATCCAATCCTCCCTTATAAGCTGCCTTTTATTTATTTATTTATTTATTTATTTACTGACATACTTACTTATTTATTTTTACTTGGAGTCTCATTTTGTCGCCCAGGCTGGAGTGCAGTGGCATGCTCACGGCCACCCCGGCATCAACCTTGGCTGAGACAATCCTTCCGCCTCAGCCTTCCAAGTAGCTGGAACTACAGATGCATGCCACCACACCCGACTAGTTTTTGTGATTTATTGTAGAGATCAAAGTCTCACCAAGTTGCCCAGGGGGGTCTCAAAGCCCCAGGCTCAGGCAGTGCTCTCGCCTTGATCTCCCAAAGTGCTGGGATTACACGCTGTGCCACCACGCCCAGCCAATAAATTGCCTTTTATATATTTACATCCTAGTTACTTCGGCTAGAGTGATCGTTACCAAGGGGATGGTGAGCCAGCAAAGACTTGGAAAACCTGGGAATTCAATAGGGTGACTCTTAGTCAGCCCATGTCTACAAAGATTCAACAGAGGCAGCACCACTCAGGAACCACGTGTTTCAAGAATAAAGGTTTGGACACTCTATCAGGTAAAATGCTGACAGACTTCAAGGGGAACATATAATCACTTGTGAAATAAATAATAAACATCAACTTATAAGCTGAGTACCAGCTCTTCTTTTTTTCTTTTATAACAGTCTGAGCCTCGCTGAGGCTGAAGTGCAGTGGCACATTCGCAGCCTCCGCTGCCTCGACCTGCTTGGCTCAGGCGATCCTTCTGCCTTAACCTTCCAGGTAGCTGGAACCACAGGCCTGCACTACCATGCCCGGCTGACTTTTTGATTTATTGTAGAGACAAGGTCTTGCCAAGTTGCCCAGACTGGTCTCGAACCCCAGGGCTAAGGCAATCCTCTCGACTCTGCCTCCCAAAGTGCTGGGATTATAGACATGAGCTACTGCACCCAGCACTGTTGTTCCTCTTTTTAACCTGAGTAGGCCTTAAGGCTACCCACATAGGTGACAGAAACCTATCCTCTGCTCTTGTGGTGGTTTTCTCATTAAAGTTTCAACACATACATTATATATGCAAAAACAGAAATAAAATGGGACCTCCCTCTTTTTTTTTTTTTTTAGATGGAGTCTCACTTTGTTGCCGAGACTGGCCTGGAACCTCTGGGTTCAAGCAATGCTTCCACTTCAGCCCTCTGAGTAGCTGGGATTGCAAGCACACATTGCCACGCCAGGCCTCCTTCCTTTTAAGACATGTCTGCATTCGCCATAAAGAAGTACAAAATATATCCTCAACAGCAACTTGGATACAGTGGGAGACCATCATGCTAAGTGAACGATCACGGAAAGAAAGAACTGAATATTGCGTGTTCTCACTCATAAGTATACCCTGATCACTGATCACAGCAGCACAATGGTGGGAACGGCAGACACTGGACACTGCTGGGGGCGGGGGAGAACGGGGGGCACATGGCAACACACTGGATACCAGGTCCACCATCAAGGGAAGAGAGGGCCAGCTGGAAGGCCAAACTTTACCTACACACATCTTATTTGTGTAGTAAATCCTCACATGTACCCCCACAACTCTAACATAAAATAAAACGAAAATTTTAAAAACACACGTCTGCATTCTTTTAAGCCTTTGTGTCCAACCAGCTACTGCTGAGTCTCCTCTCTGTGCTACCCTTCGTAACTGTATGCCTTCCAGAGCATGCCTCAAACTCTAAAAGAAAGGCTTTTCACCACTTTTGTGCCATGACCCTCTTGGGCAATCTGGCAAAGTCTTCTCAGAATAATATAATTAAATATATAAATTGAAATACACAGGATTACAAAGAAAACCAAAGTCTATAAAAACAAGTGTAGGCCAGGCACAGTGACTCAAGCCTGTAATCCCAGCACTTTGGGAGGCCAAGGTGAATATCCTGAGCCTGCAGGTTCGCAATCAGTCTAGGCAACATGGTGAGACCTCATCTCTACAATAAATCAAAAATTAGCCGGGCGTGGTAGTGCATGCCTGTAGTTCCGATTACTTGGAAGGCTTAAGCGGATCACTTGAGCCCAGATCAAGGCTGCGGTGGCCATGAGTGTGCCCCTGCACTCCAGCCTGGGTGACAGAGTGAGACTCCAACTAAAAAAAAAAAAAAAAGCGTATAATATAAAAACAAATTTGTGATGCAATAATATATGTACCAGTGGCCGGGCTCAGTGGCTCAGTCTATAATCCCAGCGCCTTGGGAGGCCGAGGTGAGTGGATGGCCTGAGCCCACAGGTTTGAGACCCGCCTGGGAAACTTGGCGAGACCTCATCTCTACAATAAATCAAAAATTAGCCGAGCATGGTAGTGCGCGCCTGTAGTTCCAGCTACTTGTAAGGCTGAGGCAGAAGGATCACCAGAGCCCAGCAGGTCAAAGCTGCAGTGGCCGGGAGCAGCCACTGCACTCCAGTCTGGGTGACAGAGTGAGACTCCCACTCAAAAAAAAAAAAAAAAACCATATAACTCATGAGTTATCTTAGAAGAGAAAGAAAACTACTGGCCTTCAAATATATACATATACAAATGAAATATACATACACACACACACAAACAAAAAATAAAATGACAAAAAAAAGATAACTTGCAAATTGTACTCGAATTAAAAATTCCATACTCAAGCCGGGCTTAGTGGCTCAGCCTGTAATCCCGCGCCTTTGGGAGCTGAGGTGAGTGGACTGCTTGAGCCCGCGGGTTTGAGACCCGCCTGGGCAACTTGGCGAGACCTCATCTCTACAATAAATCAAAATGAGCCGGGCATGGTAGCGCGCACCTGTAGTTCCAGCTACTTGGAAGGCTGAGGCGGAAAGATCGCCGGAACCCGGCAGATCGAGGCTGCAGTGGCTGGAAGTAGCCACTGCACTCCAGTCTGGGTGACAAGAGTGAGACTCCAACTCAAAAAAACAAATAAATAAGTAAATAAATAAATCTAAGATAACATACTAATAAACATAATAAAGCATTAACATACTATTTTAACACTCATACAACTACACTGTATAGAAAAGCATACACTGTATGCTTTCTTTATTATAATATCCTTTCTAAGCACAAGAATGGTATTGTAATAAAGGCTAAACATGGAGTTTGTAACATAAAATGAATCTAAAAGAATCAAACTCAACTTTAAATACTATTTGAGAGGAAAATAAATTGTACCTCTGAATTGTGCTTAGTTGTCATTTCTAACTTTTCTTTCTTAGCTCGATGGAGTTTCTTTCTGAGATCAGCAGTAATATCCAAGTCTGTTTCATTTTTAAGCATTTGTTTTACATCTGATGAGGCATTCTTTAACCTATAAAATGAGATCATAGTAAAATACAGTTCTCATAAAGCATATTTCACAGCATTTTTGATAACTACAGATAACTCCCAAAGTGCTGGGATTACAGGCTGAGTCGGGCATGGTGGCTCAGCCTGTAATCCCAGTACTTTGGGAGTCCAAGGCGAGAGGATTGCCTAAACCCATGGGTTCGAGACCAACTTGGACAACTTGGAGAGACCTTGTCTCTACAATAAAACAAAAAATAAGCCAGACTTGGTAGCATGCATCTGTAGTTTGAGCTACTTGGAAGGCTGAGGTGGAAGGATCACATGAACCCAGCAGGTCGAGGCTGCAGTGACCATGAGTGTGCCACTACACTACACCCTGGGAAACAGAGCGAGACTCCAACTCAAAAAAAAAACACAAAAAGAGCCGGGCTCAGTGGCTCAGCCTGTAGTCCCGCGCCTTTGGGAGGCTGAGGTGAGTGGATTGCCCGAGCCCGCGGGTTCGAGACCCGCCTGGGCAGCAAGACCTCATCTCTACAATAAAAAAATTAAAAAATCAGCCGGGCGTGGTAGCGCGCGCCCGTAATTCCAGCTACTCGAAAGGCTGAGGCGGAAGGATCGCCAGAGCCCGGCAGGTTGAGGCTGCGGTGGCTGGGAGCAGCCACTGCACTCCAGTCTGGGCGACAGAGTGAGACTCCATCTCAAAAAAAAAAAAAATAATAATAATAATAATAATACACTGAACACCGCAAATGTAATTCATATTACAAAAAGAAAAAGTACAAATAAGAGAACAGATTCTTGCTTTAAAATGGAAGATTAAAGCCAGGCACGGTGGCCCCCGCCTATAGTCCCAGTTAGTTGGAAGGCTGAGGCAGGAGGATTCCCTGAGCCCAGGAGTTCAAGCTGTAGTGTACTATGATAGCACCTATAAATAGCCACTGCACTCCAGGTTGGCCAACATAGTAAGACCTTGTTTTAAAAAAAAAAAAGGACAGACTAGCCGGGCTCAGTGGCTCAGCCTGTAATCCCACGCCTTTGGGAGGCTGAGGTGAGTGGATTGCCTGAGCCCGCGGGTTCGAGACCTGCCTGGGCAGCGAGACCTCATCTCTACAATAAATCAAAAAATTAGCCGGGCGTCGTAGCACACGTCTGTAATTCTGGCTACTCGGAAGGCTGAGGCGGAAGGATCGCCGGAGCCCGGCAGGTCGAGGCTGCGGTGGCCGGGAGCGGCCACTGCACTCCAGTCTGGGCAACAGAGTGAGACTCCAACTCAAAAAAAAAAGGACAGACTAAAGCATACTATTCTCTCACAAAACATTTTTTAAAAATTAAAATAACAGCAAATAGAATTTAGAGGTATAAACCCACAAGGAGAAACAGTACAGAAGATGAGATAACAACAATAAAATACAAGAAGCTGGAAAGCAGGTAGACAAGTGGTAACTGATTTACCTAAGAAAGTGTAATTCAAAGTCAGCAATGAAAAAAGCAACCTGATTTACAGTAGAGCTCCAAAAAACTCAGTAACTGGCAACACCTTTGAAAACGGGGTTAAAACTAAAGTACAAAACAGGAGAATTGACAGAAAGTCTGCCAACAAAATATTATATGCTCTGATCCCCTATCCTCTATACCTTACAACTGCGTACCTATTTCTTCCCCAGTGTGGCACTAAGGGTTTATTCCCTGCAGAGGATACATTCCCTAGACTGGAAGACATGTGATACAAATGAGGTAAGTCTCCATACTAAAACCAAGAGCCTTGAGTAAGAAGATATATAATGAACAAGAGCCTTATCCTTCTAACACTACTTGTCTGCCACAATTATGGTAGCAAGACTGAACAGAAGCATCTTCCCTGGAGAATCTAACCAGCCAGGTGATAAAGGGCTCTCCAGTAAAACAGCCTAACCATGTCACCCTACAGAGAATGCCACAAACACAAAGCCTCACACACTGGGCACCAGTCATCTCTGCAGGTTGGTCCTCTACTTTTAAATATAGGCAGAAAGCCGAGGACCACCAAAAGTTTAGGAAACACCTAATATGATCGCCAGATACTAAAAATAAGGTGAGTGGAAAGGAGAAAGTCCTCAAAGACTATGACAACTTTAAAAAAGAAAGAGGGAGCCGGGCTCGATGGCTCAGCCTTGTAATCCTGTGCCTTTGGAAGGCTGAGGTGAGTGGACTTCCTGAGCCCACGGGTTCGAGACCCACCTGGGCAATTTGGCGAGACCTCATCTCTACAATAAATCAAAAATTAGTTGGGCATGGTAGCGCGCCTGTAGTTCTGGCTACTCGAAAGGCTGAGAATCGCCGGAGCCCAGCAGATCGAGGCTGTGGGAGCACCACTGCACTCCAGCCTGGGTGACAGAGTGAGACTCCAACTCAAAAATAAATAAATAAATAAAATAAAAAAGAATGAGGGAAGACTAACATAAATCTTTTCAGAAAGACAAGTAGTGGGTATGACGTCCATAATATAGCATCTACAGCAGTGATAAGAAATAAAATATTCAGAGAATAAAAAAAGATCTCTTAAAAATCAAAAACACAAACTAAGGAATGAAAAACTAAATAAATTAATGTAAAAGAAAAATCTCTCAGAAAACTAAAACAAAAGAAAAGGCAGATGAAAAACAGAAAAAAAATTTTCAAAACTCAGAAGCCTAAGAGGTTTAAAATCTCAATAAAAAGAGTTGCAGAATAAGAAAATAAATGTATAACCAAAAAATGCTTCTTTGGAAGCACTGTTCTAAGTTTTTATACATAAAAACTTATTTAATCTTTTTAACAACCTGATAACATAAGTACCATTATGGTCCCTACTTTACAAATGAGGAAACTGAGTCACAAAAAGGCTAAGTGATTTGCCCAAATTCGTAGGGCTAGTAAGGGACAGAATAGGAATTCAAACTCTGGCAGCCTAGCTCCATATTAAAATGCCTCTCTGGAGGGAAGGAAAATATCAAAGAAAAAAATTCTAGAAAATATGCAGAGTCTGAAGGATCTGAATTTCAAACTGAAAGGGCCTATGAGCAACTCAGGTTAAATACATGAATATTTCAGAAAACAAGACAAAAGAGAGTTCCTCCACATTCCACAGAGAAATAAATACATTGTACACAAAGGACTAAAAAATTCTATTTGGGGCCAGGCATGGTGGCTCAAGCCTATAATCCCAGCACTTTGGGAGGCCAAGGAGAGGATTGCCTGAGTTCGAGACCAGCCTGGGCAACACGGTGAGACCTCGTCTCTACAATAAATCAAAAAAATTAGCCAGGCGTGGTGGCGCACACCTGTAGTTCTGGCTACTTGGAAGGCTAAGGCGAAAGTATCACCTGAGCCCAGCAGGTCGAGGCTGTGGTGGCTGTGAGCATGCCACTCCGGCCTGGGCGACAGAGTGAGACTCCAACTCAAAAAAAAATTGATTTGAGCCAGGCTCCATGGCTCAGCCTGTAATCCCGCGTATTTGGGAGGCTGAGGTGAGTGGATTGCCTGAGCCCGCGGGTTCGAGACCCGCCTGAGCAGGCGAGACCTCGTCTCTACAATAAATCAAAAAATCAGCCAGGCATGGTAGCCCATGCCTGTAATTCCGGCTACTTGGAAGGCTGAGGCGGAAGGATCACCGGAGTCCAGCAGGTGAGGCTGTGATGGCCAGGAGCGGCCACTGCACTCCAGTCTGGGCAACAGAGTGAGACTCCAATCCAAAAAAAAAAAGAAGATAAAACCAGGCCGGGCTCGGTGGCTCAGTGTGAAATCCTAGCACTTTGGGAGGCTGAGGCGAGTGGGTTGCCTGAGCCTGCGGGTTCAAGACCAGCCAGGGCAAGTTGGCAAGTCCTCGTCTCTACAATAAATCAAAAAAATCAGCCGGGCGTGGTAGCGCACACCTGTAGTTCTGGCTACTTGGAAGATTGAGACAGAAGGATCGCTGAGCCCAGCTGGGTGACATTGGGAAGGCCGTGAGTGTGTCACTGCGCTCCAGCCTGGGCTACCAAGTAAGATTCCAACTCAAAAAAAAAAAAAAAAATTTATTTGGCATGATTTCTCAACAGAAACACTAAGAATTAGAAAACAATGCTGCAACACCTTAAAAAATTCCAAGGGAAATCATTTCCAACTTAAAATTTTATGCCCAGCAAATTATCATCCAAACACAAGGCTATAAGAAAGACTATTTCAGACCTTCAAGAATTCAAAATATTTACCTCCCGTTAACTCTCTCAGGAGGCTAACAGATGATTTGCTCCACCAAAATAAGGACCCAAACTGAGAAAGTCACAGACATGGATTTCAGAAGTAGAGTATTCAACACAAGAAAACAGCAGAGGGATTTCCAGGACAGTGATGAGAGGAAACACTAAGATGACAGTTGTACAGCAAAGCACTTGAAAGGAATTCTGCCCCGGCCGGCCAGGCCAAAGCTTCTAGGAATGATTTCTTTAAGAAGATAAAACCAGCCAGGTTTGGTGGCTCAGCCTGCCATCCCGCGCCTTTGGGAGGCTGAGGTGAGTGGATGGCCTGAGCCCGCGGGTTCGAGACCCGCCTGGGCAACTTGGCGAGACCTCGTCTCTATAACAAATCAAAAATCAGCCGGGCGTGGTAGCGCACGCCTGTAATTCCGGCTACTCGGAAGGCTGAGGCGGAAGGATCACCAAGCCCAGCTGGGCGACACTGGGGAGGTCGTGAGTGTGTCACTGCGCTCCAGCCTGGGCTACCATGTGAGATTCCAACTCAAAAAAAAAAAAAAAGATAAAACCAAACAACTTCATGTATGTTAACACTGAGAGGAGATTTATAGAACTTATTTAGAGGATGAAGTTAAACTCATGATAAGTTCACAGAAACTAAGCAAATAAACAAGACAACGATTAAATCCAAGAAAACAAGATATACAGGAAAAAATTGTTACAGGTACTACTACATGGCTCAAATGAAAGTTTTCATAATTATAATAACATAAACATTAGATAACTAGTCTAACCAAGATTACAATATTACTAAATGTAGAGAGATTA